TTTTGGTGTTTTTGCTGCTAGCTTAGCCTCAATGGAATAACAGCATTGCAGGTGCTAATGTGGACAGGACTTCTGCAGTATCACCTTGTCTAAAATTGCTCAGAGCAAGTTGGAATGAAGCTGTGGTGAAAACACCGCTACGTGTTGTACCCTTGTCCTATCCAGAGTCTCCCAATCTTACTGTCCATAGTGCTCTGGGCTTGTTGTTGTGAAGATGGAATTCTAAGCATGGAATGGGACAACTGAGCAAACGATGTAAAAGAATGCTCTTACATCTTGTCCAATAATTCATTGTTTTTCCTTTCACTTTTAGTGGGGGAATTTATTGAAAGGCACTAGAAAGCCCTGATGAATATCCCCCCCTTTCTCTTGTATTGACTGTTGCATTAATGTGCTCAGAGTATTTTAGTGGACTGGTGAAGAATGATTTCTTTTTTTATTTTCCCCAAATTCCTGTTGGCTTTTTTACATCGGTATCATGGATAACAAGATGATTTTTTTAGTGCTCTTTGTAATTAGTGTCTCAGCTAATTTAGTTGATACAGAACAAAAGCTAACAAGATGGTAATTTCCCAGATTATTCTGGACTTTCTTAAAAGCAAAAGACCATTTGTTCCCCTTTGGTTCTCTGGAAGCTAACAGTTTTAATGCACAGTCTTTTTTTCTTTGTTATCATTATTAACATTTCAGCTACCTTTTGAAATCATGTGTGATTTTTACATGATTGATGTTTTCAGCTTTTTAAAAATATTGATGTGGAGAGCGTATCCCCACTGTTAGCAGTGATGGGCAGGCCTATGGCAGACTTCCCAGAATCTGGCAGTGGCAAGAGAAGGCATCTCCACCCCCCTCTCTTGCTCAGGTTGAGAAGTAGGGGGGATCATAGAATGGCTTATGTTGCAAGGGACCTTAAAAATCAAGTTCCAACCTCGTGCTGTGAGCAGACTTGCCACCCACTAGACTAGGCTGCCCAGGACCTCATCAAACCAGGCCTTAAAGTAAAAACGAATGGGCAGGAAGCAGTGTGGAACTGCTGCTGTTCACCTGTCCAAGTGTGCTGCCCTGTGTGGGGGTGAGAGGAAGGAGCAGCTGTTCTAGACCCATCTTCCTGTAAAAATCCAGACTGATGGGCTTTCTGAGGAATTTGTGGTTGCAATATTCTTGTAGGCAGCTCTTATCACCAGGAATTTCTGCTGACTTGTTTATGTCTTTGACTAATTGCATTTCAGATTCTTCTCTCTGCATCCCTAATCCTCATTTCACGTTTTGCCAACTTTGAGTATACCCCTCAAGGTTGGAATGACTCTTCTGAAGGGTTTTTCATATGAAGAATGCTTCTGCCACTTACTGTCCTAAGTGGCCTTTCTGAGCTCTTTTGTTGCCAGTTCTATCACTAGATAAAATACTCAAGTTGGCACCAGGAAATCTTAGCTTTGGTGTTTATTATCTTCTAAATTAGTTCCTTCATTTGAAGGTCAGATTAATGTCTGCTCATTTGTGGCACCTGCATGTCTGTTGCTTTGCCAGTTTCTCTGTGAGCAAAGACTCCTTCAAAAGCAACAAAATGGCTGAGCAGCCAGATCTGCTTGTACATCAAGAGTAAATTAACAAATGTCCTTGTGCTCTCCTGCTTGCAGAGACTATATGCTTCATACCAGAGGTGTCTCTAAATCTGAGAATTCCTGCTTTCATTATGGCCCACATGGAACCATTTTAGTAATTAGTGTTAGTCCCAGTCTAGTCCCAGGCTTTAGGCAAGCCTCATAGGTTGGATAGCCATGCTGTAAGCTAATGGACAATTGATCGTGCTGAAATTTGGAGAGAGTAGGGAGTGGGAAAGAGATGCCCATGTGGGTTGGGGAAACAGCCATCTGCACGCTCAGACAGCATTTGTGATCTGAAGTGCTTCCTGAGGGAGGCTTATTCTTGGTAATCCTCTGTATGTGAAACGCTTCCTTTCTTTGCAGCATGCTCCTAGGCAGGGTGCATACAAGCAGGTCCATGTCTAACTAGCTGTTGTTCCTAGCTCTTTCCCCGATAAGAAGAATTTTCAAGGTATTGCTTATGTAGCAAAGCAGTATCTTGTGAGATTCCTTGGAGAAAGCTCTGAGCATTCTGGGGGATTTCTGTTCACTGTGCAGCTTCTTTGAGATGGGGCAGAAACGTGGGTCAACAGAGGCAGGCACGGTAGGAGGAGTGTGGCTGTCTTACTTTGCCTATGGCTAGGATGAAAGAAACAAATACTACATTTGGACCATGACCTGACTTGAGATCAATTAATAGCAGTAAGAATGTTTTTCTCCTGAACACCTTGTCCTGTGTGATAAGAAAAGAGACCTTGACAGCAAGATTCGCAGTCCTGCTTCATTCTCACCTTCACCTTTAATGAAGACTGAAGTTTTGTTGAGTTGAAGGCTACAGTTAGGTTTTCTTTTTCCAATATATGTTGTTCAGTGAACACTCTCTCTGGGCAGGAGCTGCTGGTCCCTGATCCTGACAGCCTCTAGGGCAGCTGTCTCAGTGTCAGCCAGACCAGTCATAAACATGCTGCGGAGAGTGCTGGGTGTGGGGCTCCTGATCCATTTAACTCTTCTGTCAGAGTGCCATTGTCTCTGTTGTTAAGGATTGCTGTGATAACAAGGCAAAACTAGGTTCTCTGCTGGATGGATAAGTTTGGGAGGGCTAAAATTTCCTGTCATGTCTGCAGTGACAGGCATGAAGATACACCTTGCATCCAAGTGTGTCTGCATTGACTGTATATGCAGTTACTTGAGCTTTCCTTCCTCCCAGCTGCCTTTGGTCATTCACCACCCAGCCATTTCCCAGTGATCCTTGCAAGGTGGCAAAATACTTTGGGGCCAGTGCCTCTGGTCCCAGCTGGCCAGTGTAAGACAGTCCTGTCTTACAGCCCTGACATCTATGTCTGGTGCTTTACTTTGAAAGGCTCTGGGCTGCTACACAGCTCAATGGGCTCCTGCTGCATCTTTTGGGGATCACAGTCCATGTGCTGGCCTTCACTTGGTGCTGGAGGTTTTTGAGTGCATCTGCAAGGAGGCAGGCCTGGTGCTGTGTCCTTCTTGTGCCCTGGGCTGCAGCTGGCCCAGCACTTTTGGGGAGTCAGCCCCACTCAGCCTTCAGCAGGACTTCCTCTGCTGCTAGAGGACTATGCAGAGGGCAGTTATCAAAGCTGCGCTGCAGGCTGCATTCCTGTAATGGGCTGAGTTCCCTGTGCAGTGACAAAATACCCAGCTGCTCTGGCTTCCTCCTTCCTCCTGCTTTCCTCTTTCATCCCATTGTTCCCTTCCCGTGTTCTCCTTTGTTTTCTTGTCCTTTTCACAGCTTCTTCTCCATATCCCCTTTTGGCCTGCTTTTTCTTCTGCACATGGAAGGGAAAAGCAGAAAGCAACCAGGATAGAGCCCTGCTCGTTACAGCAAGAGCTTCAAAGGAGGTGTGTAAGATTTAGCACAGGAATATGGGAGGCTTCAGGACTGCTTGTGGAGGTTATTTTCTACCTATGCCTCTGTGAGAGCTTTTGAGCAGGCAGTATGCTGAGATAAGCATGTTCTTTGTGCATTTATGCTTGCTTGTGTGTGGCCACCTAGGGAAAGTGTGTGTGTGTGTATGCGTGCATGTGTGCATCAAGCTGTCAGATCTCACATGCAGAGTGTGAGAGACTCTCACATTCTCCTCACACTCCCCCTGGCCTGCATTTCATGCACTTGCAGCTCAGCACCCAGCCTGTCCCCTGACATTCCCAGAAGCAAGACATTTGCCATGCCCTGTGGAGTGACATAGCACTGCTTTGCATAGAGGGCAGAAGCGGCCACTAAACAGAGACTGTGGGTGTGGATGTACATGTAGTGGCATTTCTGCATTTTTGTGATGGTATTCATCTCTACCACGTACTTTAAGGCTTTCAGTAGAGTTCCTTACCCCGGTATCTTGGTATTTCCTGGCCAGACGAGGTCTGCACTGTGGGATTTGACCTTCAGTGACTTACAGCGTCGAAGCCGTAAGAATTTAGGGGCCTCTATGAAGACAGATGCTGAGCACTGCCAGGAGATGGGCACATAGTTGCTTTTTGTCATTGATTTGCTTAGATTTTATTAACGTATCGGGTAAGCTTATCTGAAGTTTATGAAAGAATATTGAGTAGCTCTGTCCTTGGCAGGAGGCTTTCCTACTGAGAGTAATAATAGCAGAATAAATTATTGTCAATAAAAGACGTGGTAACTGGTTGGCTCTTGAGAGGCAGAGTGAACCTCAGGAATGGGCAGGTGGTAGATGATGGTTTTTGTCATTTGCATGCTTTCTGGCTAGTGTAAGCAAAACTAGTAAGTCTCCTAATTCCCAGTCCATGAAACTACTGTCACTTTGGCAATGTGAGCAGTAAGACTATGAAGTGTCTGGACTCGAGTGGTGTAATTTCTCCTTTTCGCTGAGGAGTGTGAAGAACTTCCACGTAATGCCCTTCCTCACTACCAGAGATATCTGTAGTTTTAATTATTTTTAATAATATTTTTTAATAGACTCTTCCTCCAGGCTCCAGATTATTCCTAGGTTGGTATCTGCAATTTTCTTCTCACTTGAATTCTTTGTTCTTTCAAAGATGGTCCAGTATTGTTTGTAGTACTGACACTTGTCTTTTGACGAGAGTTCCCTGTGCATCACAGTGGTGGATAATAATTATGGTAGACGTTACGTTCTGTGTGAAGATGTAGCCCTGGGCAGAGCCAAAAGCTGTTTGGATGCCCGTGATCAGGGTGCCTGTGCAGATACACATGGAAGTCCCTTATGCTCTGGAGTATCTTGTCCTGGTCTACTTCAGTCCCACTAAATCAAGGTGGAGTCCTAATAGTTAACTTATGCAGACGAAGCCCAAAATTAAGAATGGAAATTCGTAGAGTGTTTCAACAGCAGATAAATAGAAGGTGTACATGTGGTTCTGTGCATGCAATAGGTAGCAAAAAGGCTTGGCTGATGTTCTGTCTCTCTGCAGGTGCACCTGCGCTCTGCTGAGCGCCTCCGAGAGCTGTGCTGTGCCAACCGAGGCACCTTCATCAAGGTGGGCCAGCACTTGGGAGCACTTGACTACCTGCTGCCAGAGGAGTACACCCGCACGCTCAAGGTGCTGCACAGCCAGGCCCCACAGAGCACCAGGCAAGAGATCGAGCAAGTCATCCGTGAGGATCTGGGCAAAGAGGTAAAGGCTGTTCAGGACAAAGATGCATTTGCAGGGCTCTGTGAGGAACGACTGCTTTCCCTTGACTGCAGTAGATCAGTTCCAGCTGGCACTGACAACCCTTTAGATTTTTGAGCCCCTAATTAACCTTCGAAGAAAATAATAGCATAAATCACTTTCGGTGCTTGCAGTCAGGTAGCGTAATATCCAAGGAATTTGTAACCATTAACCCCCAGCAGGCTGCATCACTGAGATCAGAGGTGGGTGTCTGTGTTCATCAGATATAAGGAAAGTAACTGTGATATTTAAAGAGAGCATTCTGCTGCTTTTTGTCTTGCCCTGTATGAGAAGAGATCTGCCTTACAACTCCCAGGCTGACCAGGGGCATTTCAAGGAGCACAGCTGATGTGGGAGGGAGGATGAAACTGTGCAAAGGCAATAGTAGAAAAGGTGGAATTGCTGGGTGAGAGACAGGCTGTTGAAGAATAGAAGCAATGTGTACATACAGAGCTGCTGATACAAAAGAGGTTTATGGGACTCTTTGGGGGTGTTTCAGGAAGTCCGTGTGGTGAGGAGGTGTGGAGAGAACAAGGGGGTTTGACTGAAGTATTCGCACCTACCTAGTAGATAAATTGTGGATGGATTTGGATGTGGTGGTGGTTGTTAGAAATGACAGTTTGTATCTCCCTGCAATTGAATGGCAGGGTTAGTGTCAGCTTCTGGCCTGCATTCTCTTTGCCTTCCTGCAAGCTAGATGCTTCATTTCTTGGTGCTGTGTCCTCAGAGCCTGGCCAGTACCAGCTGTGTTTCATAGCTCAGTGGATAGATGGAGCAGGACAGGCTGTCTGCTTCCTGCTGCTCTATGGGGCTTCACCCTGCAATCTCACTTCTGCAGATGTGGAAAAACCACCTTGAGGTTAGCTGCTACTAAATGATCAAAACAGCCACCCCTGTCTGCATGTGTGGTGTCTCTCAGAAGCAGAGCCACATGCTAAGGAGGTGGGCCCGTCCTTCTATTCAGCTGCCACAGACATATCCTGGTCTCTTTCAGCGTTTTGGGAGCTAGGCAAGCTTTCCATGCCTCATTGATTCCCAGCGAGACAGCTTGAATCCAGTCTCCACAGCAGCCCTTTTTCCTCTTAGCATTCACAGCACTCACATGGGCAGTGCTGGGCGATATTTAATTTTAAAGAGACAGGGGGGATAAAAAGATAGGAATGGGAAGAGAAAGAGGAAATGCTAAAGAGAAAGAGAACAATGATTGAAAGAAGAGAGAAATGAAAGAGAATGGAATATATGAAAATGGAATAACTGGTGAAACTGGGAGGTATTAAAATCACAGGTAAATGTCCATGGTTATTAGTTACAAGGTGGTAAATTTAGGATTTTGTTAGTTTTTGTAATGATTTTGTAATGATTCTGGCCCCTCACAAGCAGCTACTGAAGCTGTTCAAGAGCTGAGTGAAAATTGCAGGAACAGGAGCAGTCTCAGTTGCTGTTAAGCTAAAGGAAATTTTGACCATCAAAATTTCTCACATCAGCATACATTTACACTACTGCAGGAGAGTTTGTTGGGCTCCAGGGAAGACTGAAAGGCAAAACAGGCCCTTACTGAGAACTTGGCAGGGATTGAGTTTGTTGCTTCCACTGCTCGCTTAGTTCAAAGCTGGGAGAAAGCGCTGGGGTGAGCCAGAGGTTGACTCTTCTCTCTGTTGAAGGCAAATCGTATAAGGAGCTTGAATAGGTGTAAAGCCATACATTTAGAAGGATGTCAGTCCAGCCTTGCTTTGTGGGAGCACTGATAATGGGAAGTAGTTTCTAATTGCATGATTAGCCTGCACCTCCAAGGAGACCACCCACAGTTAATTAACTGGCTTTTACACCAGTGCAAGGACAAGCTTACCGTTTGTAAGAATCCTCCTGCAGCCGTACAGTCATGGAGCTTGCTGCTTGAGCAGGGTGGGATACACTAGTGGTTTTACTATGATTAGTGAACAAAGCAGTGGTGAGGCAGTGGTCCTGTGCTGTGGTTTCTGAATCAGGATGTATTTTTACAGACAGCGGTGTTTGGAGGACCCAGCCTTTACTTAGTCAATGGGCTTTGCTCTCTTTGTGTTCCTACCCTTGTGTTGGCATTTCACTAGTGCTGTGCAAGAGGAAACATACTTCTTGTCTGAGAAGATGTTATCCTTGTACAAAAACTGTTGCTAAGAGGGAGGCTTGCCCTTTTGTCACTACTTTAAATTGCTTGTGGAGATCCCTACAGTTTCTCTGTTGAGTACATGGGCCTTATTCATGCACTGTTGAAATACAAGCATGTACACCAGGGGAGCATGGTCACATGCAATGCCACATGGCCATGTGAACCTACCAGGGAAAAGAGCTTGGATGCAGCAAGTTACTAATGCCCTGGCTTTTGCTATGACGACCTTAATCACTACAACAAGAAACTTCCCTGCCACTGAGCTGCTGCAGTCTGAGAAAGGACAGCAGGAATAGGAGAATCTCTTCTTACTGTTATTTCTGTATGAACTCTTGGTACAGCATGACAGCCTTTGCATGCCAGCAATGGCAGAGAGGACAGTCTGATTCCTTTATTTCAGGAATTGTTTATCTGCTCTTTAAGCACTGCAAGACACATGCTTAGTTCTGATGTGCAGGACTGTTGAAGCGTACTTGACTCTGTGGGAAAGTAGTAAAGACTTAGTGTGCTGTGGGGTATTACACTGCATGTCCTGCAGCATCCAAGTTGTTCCCAAGGTAATGTGAAACACTTTCTTTAGCTGACTCCGTATGTTATGCTGGAGAAGATTCACTTGCCCTACTAGATGACAAGGTCTTCAGATTATGATGCTGCAGATCCTGATATGGCCTCAGCCAGCCACCTCCCAGGCTGGCAGTGTTGTTAAACCAGACCAGGATGCCAGGGGAGTTGCCTGTTTACCCCAGGTTTGCACAGAGTGGTAGAGTGCTCTGTGTGAATGTGCTGCTGTGGCTCAGGTAGTGCTTAGTTGCTCTCACTCTTGATGCTGTGCGTCTGATACCAGATGGCTCTCACAAACATGCTGTATATGCCTTGGCAAAACCTCTGAGTCCAGGTCTCCTGTTGCTTGTGATCCTGATTCTAACAGTACACCTTAAGCACCCTCTAGTAATGCTGTACCAGGTGTGTGCTTTGAAGCTGGCCCTCGTGTACATGAATACCAGACACGGGGAAATTGCACTTAGGTCAGTGAAAGCCTCTTGTGCCTGCTGTGGGTTTTGTATCCAGCAGAGGAGATGTCCTGTTCCTCTGTGACATTGCCAGCCTCTTGTTACACCCCAGAGTGGGGGCTGTGATGGCAATAACTCTGCATGCTGCTGTAGTGAGCACAGGGCTGGCTGTGGGAAAGGAAGATCTGGCCCTTTTCCCACCCCTCTTCTAGTCTCTCTCAGTAGGCCTTTCAGGGCTTTAAAGCAGCTATCAATAAAAAAAACACATTTGTATTAAAATTATAATGAGGAATAAAAATCTTCACTTTTTTCAATAACTTAAGTTATAAAAAAGAGATTTTTATCAATTATGAAAGGGATTTTGGCCATAAATAGGTAATTTAAAGAGTCTGTAGATGGATGGTGAATAGCATTAATGTCACCCAGAACAAATGGGCTTGCATTACTCAACTGGAAGGCAGGAACAGTCACTGTATGGGTCCTGCTGCTATGACAGCCTCCACTGTGCCCCATCTCTGCCATTCTGTGGGTATGAGCCTCTTGGTGCTGGTGGAGTTCAGTACAGCTGCCCCTGCACAGGGACCATGCAGGTGCCAGCTGCCCAAAACCAGGGCCCCAGTGCTAAATGCAGAGGGAAAGCAAACAGGGAGCTTTGTGTGGGTCAGGCAGTCCTTCTTGCTCTGTCACTTGTCTTCCTGCATGCTCTGCTTTCAGGCTCTGGAGTTATTGATCCTTAATGCCACACCAGTGACAAGCTGGTGTCTTTATTCCTAGGGAGCTTTGAGACAGAGTGCTCCCTCCTGCCCTGCGTGAGGAGACTTTTTCTTGTCCCAGGTGCACTAAGCCCCATTGCCCATGAAAAGGAAAGTTTTGATGTATAGGTGAGAGGTTAATCTTCTTTGTCATCCTTTAACTTTACTGATTTACAATTAAAAAAAAGTTGGACAGCAAAATTTCTGAGGGATTACTTTTCTTTTAACCTTCTGCAAGAAACTGAAATATTTGAGTTCAGAAAATGCAATGAAGAACGGCATGGAAAGGAGTAATTCTGGTTTGCAGAATTACTAATTGCAGAATAACTAATCTTTAATTTGCAGATTAGTTAGGTGCATAGGGGTTAATATATAGCTTACCTGTATGGAATTTATTGGCTCAGTGTGTCTCGTGTGCAGATGGTAGGATCTCTTCAGTATAGTTTTCTGAGAGATTTGATGACACCTGAAGTGTTGTCCTGGTGCAGGTCTCAGCTGGTAATGCACAGCACATCTGTGCCAGGTTGTGCTCCACGTTTTCACCCCGTGAAGGTGGTGGATGTGCTCAGCAGTGCTCTATCCATAGACACAAACCACATCTCAGCACATGGGTCACCGTTCCAGTTCCAGGCTTCTGTATCTGCTGTACGCTCAGAGGTCTATTTGATGCTCTGATACAGGCATAGGCTGGGTAAAACAAGCTTGATTTTCTCTTAGGGAGCAGGGATTCCTGTCACTTGTCCATCCACTGATTTGCTAATTTCCTACTTGATTGTGCCCCATTTGCATCTCCTGTTTTCTGTCAGAATTTTAGGTCTGTCCAGTTGTTCAGCTCTTGACCCATCAAGAAAGTAAAAAACACAACGTGGTGAATCTGGCATCTTTTGGCAAAAGGTTGTCTGTAGGCAAAACAAAGGACATAACATAAAATAACGAGTTATGGGGCCTCAGCTTGGTGTGTCTGCATTTTTCTAACATGTAGAATAGACACAGCATTTTTAAGTTTTTGAGGTGTGCAGGCAATCTGGTGAGCTGTTTTCTGGTACTATGGAATCA